CAAACGGGGATCGATGTAAGATAAATACTTGTCAATCAATACAAATATAATAATTAAAGTGTAGAGAACTTTTATATTAAATATGAATGGCAAGTTTGCTCTTATCCATACAGATTATTCATATCGAAGCAACCGTAGGTTGCTGCAAATTAATGAGATCTGAGTTGTGTTCATGTACAAGTAGTTAATTCAATGTTAAATACAGCTGTAGATGTACTATGAGCAAAGAGCTCACTAGATGATACCCCCGCCTCCAATATGAATTTAATGGGATTGTCCTTGTATTGCTATTGTAAACCCAAAATATGTGTCGGACCAGAAAGTAAAATAGGAGGTGCACGAAGGCAATATGTTATAAAGATTCTGTGAAAATTTCATCAAAATTAATTTCATTCATTGGTATGAGAGGAGTTGCGGATAAGAGATGGGTACCCCAAAGCGTAACAGACGGACGGACATACTGATTACTATATATCCTCCCGCTTTCCAAGGGGAGGGGGGGTATAATAAATTGTACATAGAACTATGCGTTTGTATGTTACGTATAATTGTTTACAATTACTAGTACTGTTAGTAATACTGTTAATAATATCATCTAGTTTCATGATATCTGAATACAGTTAATTAGGTAATAAGAATGAGGAATGTTTGCATTTGTTTCAGGGTGCCTCCTGTTTGTGTTCTGTTACCTGTTTAATCCTCATTGTGATTTTGTTCAAGAGACGCCAAAATAAGGACACAAAAACAGAGATGAAAACAATGAAGTGAAGGCATGCGACAAATCAAAGCAACCAAGTTCTTATACTAGTGCAGGACACGTTACGTAATAACATCCGTCAGAAGTCTATATCAATTTTACATTCAATAAAGATTTCTTTCTCTATTTCTCTTAAAATTAACTGCTCTTAATTTCTTCGTAAACATGTCAATTCCTAACCCACCTGAAGTAATCTGCCCGCGTATGAATATAAACATTCTTGGGACTACTTTTTATTAAAAGTACTTCTAAATGTAAACAAACGTATTTTGACAGTGCTTATTGACATGTCAGTCAAATTATTAAACAATAATGAAAAATAAATGCTCATTTTCTTGTCATTTTTGTTTCATTTTCTTTCTGATGTAACCGTAAACATATTAATCGTATGTAAATGTGATGTATATTTCCACACCATGGCTAGTGCTAGTTCTCAGAGCCAGAATCAGTTTGGTCACTTTGAATTTGGTTTAGTGATGGAGTTTGATGAATTCAATTGTGAAACAACCGATTTCCAACATTAACACGTGTTATGTATCAGTAAAATAGAAAATATCACTGAAAACTTCAGCATTTGTGTTTTGTCTGACCTCCCTGAACCTGTGCCTCCCGCAACCCCTCTCAACATGCTCAAAATGTATAACAGAATCAAAGAAAGTTCAGATTTAAAAAAATGAACAAGTTATTTAAATCTCTTCAAACAACCGGCACCAAGAAAAACACAACCTAGGGGTGTAGAATGTTTGTCAACGAATATTCGAATATTCGAATATTCATTCGATGAGTTGATATTCGAATATAAATTTATGATTCGAATATTCGTTTTTAAGTATACAAGCATTAAAAAGAGAGAAAAACCTGGCAAGTTTTATGAGAAATTGAATAAAGTTTGTATAAAATTAAAAAAAACAAAAAACACCTCCTCTTGGATTACCTTAAAGGTGTGAAGAGTGTATCTACCGGTATTAGAGTAATTTATTTATTTGTTCACTTAATTAGAAGTATAACAGTTTCCAGTACTTACAGTCAGCTTGTGTTGTTGTAAGGACATAGTTTTACAGTAAACACACAGACCCCTTGTTTATGTAAAAATCATTAAAAATCATTATCACGAAATCATAATTAGCGAAAAGTAATTGCTTTTCATATTTCACCGTTAGATAATTGTTCTGCTTGGTATAAATTTGTAGGAGTTATCATTGTAGACTTCAGTAAGACGATAAATAATTAATCTGGAAAATACTAAAGTGTTATTGCAACAATTTTGATTTGTATTCGTCTTCTTTGCTTAAAGGATATTTAGATAAGTGCAAAGGTTTGGTTACCTGAGGTACTTAAGAAGATAAAGACGATATTGTTAAATTAAAATACCAATCGATGTAGAAATGTATAATTTGAACAAGAATTAAGTTTGTTAGCCAATGCTCACTGCTAACAGTGTACCCCTGCTCTGATGTGAATATACACTATCATATTAATAAACACAAGTACAGTTACGGGAAGATGGACGGCTAAATAGGAAGCTGACATCAGATTGATACAAAAATAAATCCCAACATATGGCATGCCTCAACAAAGAATGCTAAAATTTCAAGTGTCTATGATAAGAAGTTGCTGAGAAAACTGTGACAAATATTTTCTTATCTATGGTACAGACACACCAACGGATAAAAAGGAAGTTGACATCGGATTTGTACAAAAATTATTCCCACCACATGGCATCCCTCAGCAAAGAATGTGCTAAATTTTCAAGCACCTGCGATGAGTAGTTGCTGGGAAAATTGCGACGAAAATTTGTTAAGGATAGACAGTCAGACGGACAGAAACACAAGGGTAAAACAGTGTATGTCCCTCTCCTTCGGAACGTGGGTATAATTAAAGTTAAGTTTATCATTAACCTGGACAACCATAGCAATTCTTTACTTCCGATTTATCCCCAGTACAGGGTTTGCCTCCATTTTCTGGTTTCGGGTTTGTACACGATCTTTCTCTAGTCTTCTGTCCATGTCCACAGTTGTTTGAACAGCTACCCCATGAAGTCCAAAGAGTCCAGCCTCCATCAACTGTAACAAATAAAATTGTTTACATTAAAAAATCTGCCTATGAAGTTTATTTAAAACAAATATTTACTAACAGTCTTTCTTATATTACCATTGTTACAACACAAAGCTTACCTGGACATGGTTTCTCTGAACACTGTTTCATTTCCTCCACTCTTCTAGAGCAGAGCTATTTGATTGATTCAGCTTGTGTAAGATTACAAGATAGCACCCTGTAGGTTTCCCCTACTCCACACGTTACCGAACATGTGCTCCAAGGCGTCCATTTTGGATCAGGCTTTCCACCTTTTTAAAACAAAATAAACATCTAAACAAACTACGTCAAAAACAATTGTAAAAATAACGAATATGACATTGTTAAAATTACAATATTTAAGGAATTAAGTCAATGCTTTTCTTGCATATACTGTGTTAAGATTCATTAGCTAAAATTATCAAAATTTAAATAAATTGATCAAGTACATTCATGTTCATCATATTAAATGTATTACATTATATAGAGACGGTACCATACCTGGACATCCAAAGCAACTCCTAACTTCCATACCACTGCCTTCGCAATCCACATCAACAGTGCCTGGTGGCTGAATGTCACACTGTCGAAAACGACGCCTAATATTCACGCAGCAGTCACCCCAAGGTCCCCAAGAAGACCATGCTAAGATAATCAATCTATTCTTAAAATTCATGTCGCTAATCTTAATGCAGATTTGGAGGAACAATTATCTTCCAGGTTGGAAGCAAAGGAAATTCATAAGGGGCCTTTTCTTCGTGATTTATTTTCAAGATTTAAAAAAAATATAATCATTTCCATATATATTCCAAATACAATGTACTTTACCGATTTATGCAGTAAGAGATCACTTTTCTGCGATGCTCAGTCTATTAAATGTATACCTGGGCAAGGTTGCACAGAGCAGCTCTTCATTTGACTATCTTGTTTGAAGCATTTGTAACGGATAGCTTCATCTGGGGTCAAGTTGCAAGAGCGTGACCTTCGAGTCACTCCTCCTCCACATGTGACCGGACATATATCCCAAGAAGTCCATATTGGGTCTGGTTTTCCCCCTTTTAATAAAATAGAATGCGCATCTTTTATAAACGCTATGAACAATGAACAATGCATAAAAGAATTCTATTTACGTTAATTAACGTTGAAAAATATCATGAACGAGATAAGGACGACTGTTATAGGTATTGCGTTTATTCTTAGAAAACGCAGAGGTAAGATAGTAACCTGGACAGCCAAGACAACTCCCAGTCTCTTCAGCATCCCCGACGCAGTTTGCCCCTCCATGCTCCGGCTTTGGATTGTCACATGTTCGTGATCGTGACCTACTGTTTACGCAACAATCACCCCATTTTGTCCAGGATGACCAGGAACCGTCAACTACACGTATCATGAATATTCATAAATACAGAGAATTTCGAATTTACATTTTTGGTTAGAAGTGTTGAAGTACCTGTATCTGAAATTTACCATTTTAACGTTTTCTAAAGATGAAAATTCTAAGATTTGAAAATCTCAATCAACATTTCTATGACATTAACCTTCTCTGATTTTTACCATATGAAAAGATCAAATAAAAAATCAAATATGATTTAGGGAACTTCATTACAGATCAAACAACCCGGTAATGCAATATAATACTATTACTTACTTGGACACGGTGTGTTTGTTTGACATTTCTTCTTTTGCTCCTCTTTATAATAGCACTGTTTCTGGTCCTCCTCATCGTCTGTGAGATCACACTGCCGAATTCTCGCCTGTAATCCGTCACCACAGGTCACAGAGCAGAGAGACCACGTCGTCCACGGCGTCAAATCTCTCTGAACTAAAATAAATGTAGTATTTCAACATGGAAATATAAGTTATTCTTTCTAAAGGAAATGGATATTACAAGGAAAAACTTTAAATAAGAGTCTTTCACTTTTTTCAGAATTATATTTATTATCCTGATTTCGATTCTAAGGTCAATGTAATGATTCTGTTTGCAAATGTATGTACAATCTGTCATCAGGTCTAATGTTGACTGATGTCCTTTATAAAAAAGAAAGACCACTGACTTCCCATTTATTTGTTTACAAATACCCAGTCGTGATAAAAGGCACACAGGCAGAGTGATCAGTTGACAGGAGATGCTTATTCTTTCATGGGACCTAATCCCACTTCTGATGATTTCAGAGGTCAGTATTTGCTTTATTCACAATTTTTTAATCATAATAACTGTTTCATAAAGTTATTGTTCACTTTCACAGTGTGAATATCGTTGTATGCGTATTTTAAAATCCTTTTGTAAATAATTACAAAAAAACAAACAAAAAAACAAAAAATAATCTGGTAAGTATCATACGTGGACATCCTGTGCATTCTTCCTCTTGTGTGCCATCACCCAGGCAATCTCTTCCCCCGTGTTCTGGTGCTGGATTGTTACAATCTCTTCTTCGCGATCGTTTCCCTCTACCGCAGTTGTTAGAGCATTTTCCCCATGATGTCCATGAAGACCATTTTCCATCAACTACAAAATCCGAGCATGCACACATGTACTTGTTGTAAAAATAATTATTATTTTTAATAAGACTGACATTTGTTGCAGTTATTCTTTAAACTTGAAATACAACAAGTAATATGTTTGTTTACAAAAAAAAATAAAAATAAAATAAGGTAGCAGGAAAAGTAATTTATTTACCTTTGTTGTTATTTAAGTAAAATCAAACGACCTATTGTTGTATTATCAATACAGCAGAGATTTATGCCCTGTTCACACGGAGAGTTTAATTCGAATTAAACGTAAAGTTACTGCGAATTAGCTTCGCTTAGCGTTCACACGGAGAATTTAATGCGAATTAGTTTACTGCGCATTAAATTACTTCGCATTAGCTCCGTGTGAACGCAAAGCGAAGCTAATTCGAATTAAATTCTGACGCATGTGTAATGGCAAAACTTAGTCAAATGCCACGCGTCGGTGGTCAGCAATAGGTACTTGTGTTATTTTTGAGTGAAAAACTAAGGAAAACTTTGTTAATCATTAAAATGTGTATACAGACACTTTGCCAGTATGTCAAATGGATCTGCTTCTGCATAAGGTGACGTGATTTGCACATGACGTCATAATAGCCGTGCTGATGCCGGGTTGCAGAAGTAAAATTTTAATTCGCATTAGTTAACTTCGCATTAGCTGTCGTGTGAACGCAATTTAATTCGCATTAGTTTGATTGGCATTAGTTTACTTCGCATTAATTTACTGCGAATTAAACTCTCCGTGTGAACAGGGCATTAAAATTATTCTATAAATATTTCCATATATAGCAGGCTGACAATATTCCTTTGTACATGTTATCAAGAGTCATTTGAAAATCCTACTCACTAGGACATGGTCTGGGATTACAGGATCTCGACTCGATCTCGGAAAATCGACAGTTGTGTGCGTTCGATTCATCATCTGTTAAGTCGCACTTCCTGGTTCTTCTCTGACTTCCGGTCCCACAGGTTGTCGAACACGCACTCCATGTTGTCCAATCTGTCACTATCTTGTTGGCTAAAATGGGATTTTTTCATTTTTTAGCGAGCGTCGCTTCGGAATTCGGAATGAAATCTGTACATACGTCAGGCAAATTTTTCTGTGAAACATTCCCAGAATTCCTTTACAACCCAATGTCCTTTGCGCGAATAAATAAATAAATAATAACGTAAAGCATAAAGGCTTTCAGTCTGTAGAAATCATTCAAAGAAACAAAAAATAACTCTGCAATGTTTTTCGACCAAACTCGCATTAGGTCTAAAGTTTAAACTAGACGCTCGGCTGTCTCCGTAAGCTCCGGCGAGCTCCGTGACGTCGTATGACGTCACAGCTAGTCGAGATGTCTCGTGCAGCTTGATGTTTGAAGTGGCTGATCAATTTTTTAAGTGTTTTGTACGCGAACTCCTGTGATGAAAGCGTATCATTACAAGGTATGTACACATTGACAAACTACTATATTCCGGAATAACGTCAATTTTCATCTTGTCCGGTTGTAACAGAAAAATATCTTCAACAGTTTATTCTAGAAAAAGGTTGAAAAATCTTCTGGCATCTCTTTGATATTTTACAGGATCGTTCTCTTACATCATATTTAGACATAATATGTTTGTTCACAACCTCTGTTAAGAGAATAAATACCCACATCCTTTGAAATAACAGTCCTTTAAGATGTCCCATTTAATGAAAATTTAGTGTAACGCTTTTTCCATGGTGAAAAAAGAAATTTTGTGGTAAAATTTACAAATTTGAATTGACATACAATGAGTTAGCTGCAGATCTGTAGCGTTATGGTTTTCTATATTTTTCTTTGACCATAACGTTACAGATCCCATAATGCAAAAAAGATGCAATTTACGGCGCAATATTTTTTATGCACTTTTGGGAAGAATTTCTCCACTTTCCAGCAGCGGTCAATCAACTAACTTTCACTCCCTAATTCTAGGCACATTATTTAACTAATCTGTATATTTTATCCATCTCCCAACCCTTTATAGTCGTCTCTACAATTGATAAACTCACTTGGTTAAAATTATTTGTTAGATTGCTGAAAATTCACTTCAAGCGAGTTTAATGCCTGGAGAGACAAAAATAAATGGTTGGGAGGTTAATAAAATATACATATTGGCTACAGAATGTGTCTAAAATTTGGGAGGGATAGGTGGTTGATTGACCAATGCTAGAAAGTGGAGAAATTCTCCCCAAAAGTGCGCAAAAAAAAATTGCACCGTAAATTGCACCTTGTTTGCAGTACGGGATCTGTAGTGTTATGGTCAAAGACAAATATATAAAACCATAACGCTACAGATCTGCAGCTAACAATGAGTACTTTTAAACAACAACTTGTTCCAAAAAGATAATGAAAATTTTCCAGGGGCTGAGGTATTTAATGAAACATAATCCGTGTCTTGCAAATGTGTCCCGCTGCGTAAATGACGCCATGTAAAATATATGTAAGTTAATAGCTTATTGATTTATTCCAAATTCAAGAGGCAACATTTATTAAAATTCATTTCAGTGGAAGGCAACTTAAGCGATTATCTCATACAAATGTAGTTATTATTTTAAATTCATGCAAGTGCAGAATTTTCTTTTCATATGCAAGAGAGAAAACAATGGTAGAAAATTAAAAATACAGCGTAATTTGTTTTGTTGATCTGCTTTGTCGAAAAAAGTATATTTACCCAAGGTTCTGTCAACAAATTACTATTTATACTCAGTAATTACTTTAATGGGATTACATGTAATTGTTTAAAAACATAATTATAATATATAAACACTGCACGTACACAATTCATATTGACGTCGTTTTAACGTTACAACGTTGAGTAGCAATTCCTGACGTTGCATCTAAATCATACAGTTCTCACTTGAGCGAGGCCAAAAAGCGCAAATGTCCGACATTCTAAGTGATAATGTGCCCCCTGCAAAGCGGTCTGCAAGATGTGAACAGTCCAAACCCTGTACTGAAAATTTTCCAGAAGTGTTAGATTTCTTGGATGATCATGACCTCAACAAAGTTCTTTGCGAAATTGGAGACCACAAGTTTCAAAACACCAACACGGGATTTGTTTCTTTACCAGAAGCCCAAGTACCAACAACTTCCAC